TCTTTCCGGCCTATGCAGGGGGTCAGACTCAATGATCTATTGAGGTCCCTTCCAGCACTAACATCTATGAATCTATATATATCGATATATATCTATATTGATATGTATGTATGTATGTATGTATGTATTACACTCAATGGATATAAAGACACTGATTTAGCTATTTGAGTGTTAATGTTAGGAATTACATTTTCAAAAATGCCTAAGTGACACAGAAGACTTAATGCCACTGGGTTTGAAAAGGCATGATGCAATTTTGAAAACTGTGCCCATAGTTCTTTTCATCCAAAGGAAAAATTCCCATAGTATATAATGAACTTTAAAAGCAATTATAGATCATGGTATATCCAAGGATCACTTCAAACATCCAAAAATACAACCATCTCTGCATATAAAGTAACAGTGCACAGCATTATAGGGTAGACTGAGTAGAAAAGACCTTTTGAAGTTTTCTGGTTTAAATTATTTTTAACACACTTCCTGGAAGCAAATGCTAGTGAATTACCATACTGTACTAGATTTAGCCTAATAAAATTTATGTAAACTGAAGACAAAAGTAAATAAAAAATACACTATTCAATTAATGCAAGCACCATAAAAATAGTAATATACTGTTCCATTCTTTAATAACTTTTTTTAAAACTAAAGCTATAGTACAACACTTCCACCAATTAAAAGTGAAATCTGTATGCTGAATACCTTATATTGCTTTCATTAACAGTTCAGAGTTTTAAAATTAAACTATAAAAGAACCAGGTTATAAAATTAAAATTGCTAAATTTAAAATTGTGACTGCCAAGTAAAGTTTATTATAGCAGCAACAATTCACACCAATGAAGCTGAGATTGTGTCAGTAGTTTTGCTCTTGCATAAAACTTTAGGCTGTTTCAGACTGGTATTAGTTCCATTTTGGTATACAGAGATTTTAATCCAGGATGATTTTTGACTCGCATAATGGAAATCTCCTTCAGAGAGTGGGCCATGGTATAACTACTTTTGTCCTATAGTGTTGTCAAAATCAATATGCCTGAGCTCATAGAAAAGATTTCACATTGGCACTGGTGTAACGATTTTAAACAATGCATTCACTGTTCACACTGGCTACTTTCACTGTTATGTTGATTGTCCCACTGATTAGTGGGACAAAACACTAACGGCATTTTTACATGTGCTCTGGGGTGAGGGGGTGGTGCTTTAATTTAAAGCCACTCTAATTAAAGAACTGTTGTGTCTTGTGTATCAGCATCCCCACACTTAAAAATGTTGGTAGGGGCACTTGAACTAAAGCATGTTCGACCCTTATATCCTATTTAAATTGCAACAAGAATAGGTCTTACCAATCATCACTGTTGTTATTATTCTTACATTTTAAAAGCCAATAAAAAGTCAGGTTATGTCAGAACATGAAATACCTTTGGCAACTTTCAACATAGAATCAGAACAAAGGATTATTTATGAAGGAAAAGATTTATATCTGATCCTTGAAAGATCTTTTCTATCGTGATTATTTTGTACCAAATTCCATATTTCCAGGCCTCAGCCCAGTGCACCTAATTTTGAATGCATGTAATGTGATTATTTAGAGATCGGTGCTGTATAAACCTGGGTGTTTGTCCAGGGCTAGTTTGTCAAGTGGATTTCCATTAAAGAATCTAAACAAGCATTAGTCAAATATTACCAAAAAGAAGAGGAGATTCTTAAAAGTTTTATACCATTTCATGGCAAAAAACCACTTCTCAGTCAAAAGCACACGTTTGCTATCTTAGATCATTTCAAAATACTGGACATTTGCCATTTCATGATATTTTTTTCTTCCTGTATGAAAGGAAACCAATATCTTTAGCCTCAATACTCATTTAATGGTATAAACCCTTAACAATCTGTGCTGTCCTTTGAACCATGCGCAAGCAATTTATCACATCTTTCCCCTATTAATCTACTAGCTGGAAAAACAGTGCCAATATTAGAAAATCGTATTTCTTTTACAGGGAAAATACAATATGACATTATTAGACACTTATATCAGTGCTAATTCCATACATGTATGTCATGTAGGAGCCAGATTGTAGTTGAACCTTGTGAGCTGAAAGAGAGAGGAAATGTGTGCAAGCAGCTGGCCCAAAGTACTCTTCTGGCTTCCCTGACAGCAATAACACAGTCAAGCAGCTTCAGAATGCTTTGTTCACAAGGACATTGCACCTTTGCATAGCTGCTATTTTAAACTAGTGCCTCAAAGGCACTCCAGTGTCTTTGGTGAATATCTATTAACAATTTCCAGTATATTTGGAAATATTCGTATAATAAAATATGGCCAAAGGAGACTTGCAACGAGTAATTGGGCCAAAATGCAACCAACCTCCAAAACATGTGGCAGCTTGAACTTGGCTTATTTTGAAATTTAAAATATCTTTCAGAAAAGAGTCCAGCAAAAAAGGGCCTTCTCAAAAGAGATATAAAGAGATAAACTGTACCAAATTTGACTAGGACCATGCCAAAATCATGGAAGTCCTGTCATATCTAACTCTGTATAGATTTAGGTCCACTATGTTTTTGGTCATAAAGACTTTAACAAGACCTAGAGAATGCCAGTAAGTGGCTGGGAGTTTCAGATTTCACATTAGAATAGAACTAAAGACAAAAGACAAATAGCACAGTTATCTTTCAGTGCAGTAATTAGGAATCCTGCTTTGTTTTTAAAGAATGCCTTATGATTCTTCACTTCCTTGCTTTTTAAGATTAGCCATGGTTATGTTACAGCTGCAAGCACAAAAGGATTTCAATAAACTCCTATCTACCTACTTCGGAACCTCTCTCTCCTTTCGGTCCTTGTTCTCCCAGTTCACCTGGTTCACCCTTTGAAAAAAGAAAGATATCAATTAATTCAGGATACAGACAAATTATTTTTCAGTAGCAAACAGATAAATAAAATAAATGCATCTCACTGTTCAAGACACTTACTGGAGGCCCTTGTTGTCCAATAGCTCCTCTTAGTCCGGGAAGACCCACATGACCCTATGTATAGAGAAAATAACATGTTACTAAGAGGTGACTATGGGCCCCTCTACACATGCAGGTAAAAGAAGATGGAATCCAATGCGCAATCCACACAATCGCACCTTCTACCACGACACATGTGCATGGCAGGAGGCGAGATTGTGGGATCAAGCATTAGATCTCATCGTGCCTTATTGCTGGTGCAGGGGAAGCCAATTCTAGCTCCATGCACACCTGGGGCTGGGAATTATAGCAGCACATCACAGCTACTGGGACCCAAAGTCCACACCTGCCAGGTGCTGCTGAGGTTGAGAGTGCCCTCAGGACTCCTAGCCTTAGCTATGCGTAGTGCCCCCCTGCAGTTGGGAGCCTGGTCAGCTGACAAGGCCCCAGCCACAGGGGCAGATCCTGCTATACATGCAAATTAAAGCTGCATAGCAACCAGCTATAAAGTTATTACACATTTTCCAGCAACAATTTACTAGCTGATTGGACTTTTTTATGGTGCAATAGTTAATTTGCATTTGTAGCCTGTCTAAATTAAATGAAATCTGTAACATGTACGGGGGGGCTAACAGCATCAAGCTCTGGTGAGTGAAATGCTTCCTTCTAAAGATCATTCCTGGGATGTGCCACATGGTCTCACTGACTTACCTTATTGAATCACACATTTAGTGGGCTTTTCTTCATTAGAATTCCTACTGAAAGCTCACCACAAGAGGGAGTTACATATTGTTAAGCATTTATGCACTATTTTGGAGAGTGTATCATCTCTAGTTCACTAATTTATGTATTATTGTGGGTGATCTGTACTACCTGTGTAATTTAGGCAGGGGTCAGGGTCTGTATCTTTTTGAACTGCTGCTGCTTAATGAGACAATAACATTAGTAATTAGAAGGAAGATTAATCACTGGGAGATTATAGTTTATTTGTGTATTTGGAAGATTGCGTACAGCAAACATAAGTGTTAGGATGAGATTTACAAACTGCTGGTGCTTGCTAATGATGACAAATTACTAGTTCAAACAATATGAATCTCTAATAAGAACTAATGATAAAAATGAGGCATCAGCCACTTAAATATGGTGCCTTTGGTTTGTGTATGCACTAGTGAGAATGGCAGCTTTCTTTTGGTGCGTTATACTAACCAGATGTATAAAAAGTCACATTCAAATAAAATCAAAGCAAGAAATATTTACCTTGTAGCCCTCACCACCAGGTTCTCCTCTATCTCCACGTTCACCACTAGGACCCTAGAGACACAACCAAAGAATGTGGTGTAACAACTGACTTGAAATACTGCTGCAGTGGTGTGACAAATAACATTTGGGGCTTTCCTTCAAAACAAATAGACCAACCATACAAAAGTGAGGATTCCAAATATGCAGTGTCAAATTAGACAGCTACTTTAAATCCATAGACTAACAATGGACTTTTTCAAATTAAAATTGTATTACAGTAGGACAAAAAAGATTGCTGAAGATGACCGGCAAAGCTCATGCGGATTTAAATCTGAAATAATTCCACTGAAGTCAATTAATTCTATTGAATTAATCCAGATTCATGCCCATCTAAGTGAGACCAGAATGAAATCTGCAATGCCATTTGTTTTATTTAAAATGCAGAAGTTTAGAGAAAGGTACAGTTCTCCTCATTCATGTGGAAAGGATAAATAAAAAAACATGAGGTTTTCTTCTGAAATGACAAGGGGTATCTAAGTACGTTTGGAACTGGATCTAAACAGAATGTTTGGATATATTGCCTAGGAGAGGACATCCTTAAGTTTAGAGCAAAGCCTTGTGTATGACACCTCAGTGGAGGGGAGGCAACTGGAGAGCCTCTACCTAAGCCAGTCACAGTAGCTGCATCACCCGCATCATCACCTGCCGATTCCACTTCAGGGGAAAGTCTAAACTCCCAGGAACTGGGTTCTTCCTCTGTAGGGTTAAGTGCCCTTAACTTTCACTGCAGCCAGTGGACTAAATCTTGCTTCCATTAAATCAACGGGTGGAAAATCATACCCAGTGGAGGCAAGGATGTTCAGTGCCTCCCAGAAGGCACCCAGCCTTAAAAAGAAAGTCTTTTCCGTGAAGCTGAAATACTAGCACATAAAGAAAGCAAAGATAGCTTTCCTCAAAAATTCATTAGGGGATCATTAGTTCATGAACCACCCCTATTCCATGTTGGCTTATACAAACCATCCCTATTCCATGCCCATCACTGTTACCTGAGGCCATACCCCAAATGCTTCCTGGTATATGATCTTTCAGCAGAAACAGATTCTGGGGAGCTCACTTGTAAGGCATACAGGGGGCTATGACTTTCCCTTCAGCTGAGTCTCCCTTTTCCTTGCATTTCCACTTAATTTTGAACCTTATGAAGAAGTCACACACCCGGCTTCTAACTGGAATTCCAAATGGGATGGGGTGCCTCTGCTCACAGAGTTTTTAGTTTATTAGTACTACTGAGCCAGCACAGCCAGGGGTTGGGTTATTTCCTGGCTTATGCATCATCATAAGAATTGTTAACTAAGTTCCATCTGAAGATCCATGCTTTGGTCTCTTTTACATCTCGAAAGATTGCTGCCTTCAAGTTCTGCTCTTTGGCTTGTCAAAGGTGTAAATAATAACAGAGGACAAGCACAATTAGTTTGCATAAAGTTGTGTAACTGATGGTGGAATCAGCCCCTGAATGTGAAACACACCCCTGGCAGACGTTCAGTTAAAGGCATGCTGGGATCTATCTGATCCATGATCCCAACAATCATGTCTCCTGCCATGCCACACATGCAGATCAGATCCCAATCATGCCCTATTACCAGCATAAGGGGACCAACAGGACAGCATTGGAGCGCTTGGCTCCTGCGTGTTTCTGTGGTTGGGAGCACTGATCAGCTGACTGGCACTCCCAGCCTTGGGAGCACACTTAAGACTTGAGGCTCCGGTGCGCTCCCAAGGCTAGAAGCAGCAACAGGTTCTTAAGTGTGATGATAACCAGTCAATATGTGCAGCAGTTACTTCACATATTTTGTGTAATGACTTTGTGGCTTATTCCCTGTTTTATCACATCATTAATTACAAGAATGTGTGTATGGGTTACTACTTAAGATGCGATTAACTGGTTAATCATGCCTTGAGTGTAATGTCTTCCAGGGCCTCACTTAACAAGGATTTGGGAGGATTTTAATTATTTGGATATGTTCCTAATTGTTGTAAATGGTTGCTGATAGTGCACACACTATTTTAATAATTCAACAGTTACAGAACACACCCTTTCACAGCTGTTAGTCAAAATCAATTTGGGGGTAGTAAAGCAAGCAGATACAGTTTGGAATAAACAAAGGAGGTCAAATGATGTTCTAGTCTAAACACCGAGTTTAGCTTAATTTAACACCGTGTGCAGAGCTGCTGAGTGAAGTGTTGTGTACACAGTTACTTTTAAGAGCAGATTTTACATTCAGGATTATTTTTAATGATGCTAGGTTCTACATTTTTCTGCAAGGAACTGACCCCAGGCTGCTGAGGCAATTTTAGACCATTTATTTTGTCTATTTCTCTTGTCTTGAAACACTAATATAACTTTCTTGAAAAAGAAAGACCTACTGGTTCACCTATGGGCCCAGGTAGTCCCAGTACTGTGTTGTCTTCACCTGGGTAACCCTAGAAGGGAAATAATTGTTAAAACTTTAATAATGATTTTTTCTTCATTAAGTATAAATATTTTTAATACAGTCTGATTTTATCTTGAATATGAAGGAAAATAAATATTTTATACATTGCACATACATATGCATGTATGGATAATACAGCAATTGACTGCAATTGGTGGCAGTAATTGCTAAGATCAAGACTGGAGTTTTTATGACAACCCACTACTGATTTAAAACCTGAAGCATTTCATTAGAATAATTCATAGCTTCATCTTCCAGTGATTTGTTCTCCCAGGTTTATACTTGTTCTCATATTTCAACAAAGGGTGTCACATTTCAACACAACACCTTTTGATGGTGATGGAAATAGAAAGGCTGTGAAAGAATGCTTTGAAAAAGGCACTGATAATAAGTGAATGGGCAGTAACACTCCCAGAATTTACAGTCATTAGGATTGTAAGGATCTAGAACCCATCTTCATACCTTTTCTCCTTTGGGGCCTGGAGGGCCAGGTGGTCCTGGTAGACCCTTGTGACCCTAAAAAATAAAAAGAAACAACTAATTATAGGATTTCATATATTGCCTATGTATTATTTTTTGCTCCATAGCCACTACTTTGACATACAGGTTAGGGACAGACATTCAAGAAGCCTGAGCCTAAATTAATTCAATCTTTGCAGGTTAGTCTAACTTGACTAGGCTGAACTGGTTTGTAACTGCATGGACATCCCAGACATGCAGGCACATGCCTGAAGTGGCTCAAGCTAGAAGCTGGGGGGTGCTGGAGCAGCCCTCCCATCCCTTCCACAGCACTGAGCTGAGGGGGTGGGCGGCATGGCCAGACCCCTGCAGGATGCTCTGTGTCATGGAGCACTGGGGTGCCCCGTGCCTAGAAAGGAGAAACTGCCAGGGAGAGAGAGCCCTGACAGGGCATAACGAGCCCAGCTGTGGGTTGCCAGGGCAACTAAGGAGAGCCAGCTGTCTGTAGGAGGCAGTGCCTGGCCCTTATAAAGCCCAGGGCTGAGGCCAGGTTGGCAGTTCCCTGCCAGCAGCCGGAGAGGCAGGAGCTCCCTCAGCCAAGACATGGGAAGAAGCCTGACTTGAAAGTACAGCTCACGATAGCCCTGAGAGGATTGGGCACTATAGTTTAGCCAGGGGGCTTTATGTTTGCGTTACAGCCAGGAGGCTCTAGTTTATGTTCAGCTTACATATTATACTGGAGGTTTGGGTGAGGCTGTAGGGGTTGGAGGAGGCCTCGCCCCCGGCGCCAGTGAGGGCGCACTAGGCCCTGAAAGTTGCAGGGCAGAGTGGTGGGGTCAGTTAAGCCCAGAGAGGAGCGGCTGAACCTCAGAGGGACCCCATAGGGGTGGGGTGCCCTAGCGCCAGTGGAGGCGCAATTGAGTGCAACCAGTGGGTTGCAGGTGGGGAACTGAGACCCCGGATTGTCAAATACGCCCGAGAGGGGTGTATTTGAGAAGGCCCAGAGGGGGGCACAGTGAGCCCCAAAGAGGGGGCGGCACTACTAGGAAGCCCAAGGCGGGCACAAGGAGCCCGAGAGGGGCAATATAAGAGGCCCAACGGGGCAATATATGAGAGGCCCAAGAGGGGCCAGATTGAGAAGCCCAGAATGGGCGTAGCGAGCCCGGTGATCGGCTAGTGCTGCAGGGAAAAACCCAGGACAGGGGCAGGGTGCTACGGTAGACCCAAACAGAAAGGGTTAGCAGCACAGCGCCCCAGAGAAGGACAGGGTGCTGCAGTGGTTCCCAGAGAAAGGGGATAGCAGCACAGCGTCCTGCAAAAGGGGAAGCAGCGCAGTGGGCCTGAAAGACCGGAGGCTTGAGACAAGAGTCCCAAGGGGGACAAGGGTCCCTGAGTGGGACAACACTTGCAGAAGAGGCCCCAGAGAAGAGGGGCAGTGTTAGAGAAGGCCCCAGAGAAGGGGGGCAGCATTTTAGGAAGCCCAAGGTGGGCACTGCGAGCCCCGGAGAGGGGGCGCCTTGTGAGAGGAGACCCCAGAGAGGGGGCAGAGTATATAGGAAGCCCAAGGTGGGCACTGCGAGCCCCGGAGAGGGGAGCGACTTGTGAGAGAAGACCCCAGAGAGGGGGCAGACTACATAGAGAAGGACA